GTTTCTGTCTTAATATTTATATCTTTAATCCACTTCGATCTTAGTTTAGAGCATGGTGATAGGTATGGGTCTAGTTTCAATCTTTGGGAGGTTGAAATCCAGTTTTTCCAACACCATTTATTAAATAAGCTATCTTTCCTCCAATGATGGTGGTTGGCTCCTTTGTCAAAGATGAGTTGGCTGAGCATGTCTGGAGTTGTTTCTGCATCTTCTAATCTGTTCCACTGATCCTCAGGTCTGTTCCTTTGCCAATACCATGCTGATTTTATCACAGTAGATTTGTAGTATAGTTTCAAGTTGGAGATAGTGATACCCCCAGCCACAGCCATGTCTCTGTTGCTTAGAATTGCTTTAGCTATTCTATATGCCATTGAAATTTAAAGTGATTATTGGTATATTTGGATCAATGTCTACTACATTTATTACTTTTTTTAAAATTTATTACCTTTGTTTTTCCCCCCATTTTTGTCTCCAACTCTTTTCCTGCCTTTTGGAATTTTAATTGAGCATTTTTTCTACTCTATCTCCTTTCTTAGAAGATCATGTATAATTTTTAAAACTTTTTCTTCTCTGTGTAGAGTTTACATTTTACATTTATGACTAGTGTAAGTTCATTTTCAATTTCTTTATTGCTTCAGATATTACTTCTATTTCTTTCTATGTCTTCTCCTGGTACTCCCATTATGTGTGTATCACACTTTATACAGCTGTCCCATGTTTCTTGAATATGATACTCAATTTTTAGTACTATATTTTCTTTGTTCTACATTTTATATGTTTATATTGACATGTTTGAAAGCTCAGAGATTTTTTTCTCAGTTATATCCAGTCTATTGATGAGCTCATCAAAGGCCATTATTTATTCCTGTTTCAGTATTTTTATCTTTAGCATTTAATTTAAATTTTAAAATTTTTCTTGAATATTGACAAAATATTTTATATAGTGGTGGTGTATAAAATGATGCATACAGATGTATATTTGCACACAACATGGAACAACATGGAATGATTGAATAAAGCTAATTAAAATATACATCACCACTAACATTTCCTTTTGATTCTTTGTTAGAATTTCCATCTCTCAGGGCTTGGAATGTAGCTCAGTGGTGTTGTGCCTGCTTGGCAAGTGTAAGGTTCTGAATTCTATTCTTGGTACTGGGAAAAAAAAAGAGTTTCCATCTCTCTGCTTGTATTAGTCATCTGTTCTAGTATGTTGTCTACTTTTTCTCATAAGTGACCTTTGTATAGTAATCATAGTTATTTTAAATTTGTGCTCTTATAATTTCAATATTCTTAGATTATCTGACTTTCTTACTGCTGTTTATTCTGTTTCTTCAAACTATGTTTTTTTTTCCTTTAGGACATCTTGTAACTTTTTGTTGAAAGCTGAACATATTAAGTTAAATGAACTATGTTAAATTGGCCTTTGGTGGTCAGGCAATAAGGTGGAGATAAAGGAAGTGTTGTGTAGTCCTAACATCTTAGTCTTTCAGTGGCCTGTGCCTATGGTTTTTGACCTTAACCAGTGCTTCTCAGGCTTTTTTCTCCTTTTAATTGAAACAGGATGGTTATATTGGGCCAGAGTTGTATATTTTTCCTTCCAACAGGTTGGTTAGCTACTTATCAAATCACAGTAGGCTAGGCTATAGTAAAATAATTTTTCTTGAGAGATGGACCCTGTCTACAGCTATTGCCTGTAGAAGGGCTTGGGGTGGGGGGAACGGGATAAAATAAAATACAATTTATTAAAAAAAAAAGGACACACTGAGAACAGAGGCCTATGCTCTCCTTGTGAATCACACTTATTGTCTGCAATCTGTTCTGCTGCAGTGTTTCTCCTTAAGGATAAACTTTCCCTTTTACTTTGTCTTACAAGCCATGATGAGCTGCTTGCAGCTGTGCAATCCATGGAGAAAGTGCAGATTGTCCCTTTTCTTCTCTGGACTGTATTGTTTCTTCAATTTTTATGTACCTTTTAATAATTCTTTTTGTTTTTGGTTAGATCATTTCTGAATCTGTAGAAACTACTTCTGATTCTTCTCTAAGTTGTTTTCCAGAGTCTGGATTCTGAATTTCAGAGAGGTTGAGTTGTTGTCACTCACCACTTCATGATTTTTTCCAGTTCCCCTCTAGTGCTAATTATATTTTTGAGACCCTGTTTTTCTTATTTAAACTATGAAGGGCCAATATATATGGGTTATATTTTTCATTTTATTTTTATTATTATCATATTTTTGAAATATGAATAACTAAATTTCCTATTAAGTATTATAGAATAAAATTATGCTTTTTCACATAGTGCATAGCTTAAGGAAAAAAGTTCTTAAGCTTTTATGTAGCTTATAAAAAAAAATTGACAGACGCCTAAACAACATATTTACATCATTGAAATTTTTGAGAAAGACAAAATTCTTTAATTTCCATTCTTAAAAGAGAAACTTTATTCTTTTTTTTTTGTTAAATTCTTTTATTGGTACATTGTAGGTATACAACACAATTACATTTCTCATTGTGAATTGTACCTTTACATAATGCATCTTG